TATTTCTTAGTGGATTCTCATATCAAATAGAGTATAAAAACAGTAAGGCTCATGCAAATGCAGACGGACTGTCTAGACTGCCCTTGAACTGCACTAAAGAAGACGAAAACCGTAAAGATCCAGCAGACATCTTCTACTTAAATCGACAGACTACCTGTCACAGTGAAAGAATTGAGGAAGGAGACCAGAAGTAATCCTATTCTTGCCAAAGTGATCCAAGTTGTACTGTCTGGCTGGCCTGCAAAACAACAGTTACATCCAGACCTCCTACCTTATTTCCACAAAAGAGAAGATGATGGATGTTTGTTGTGGGGAGGACGAGTAATTGTTCCACCAAAACTCCAACAACGCGTTCTAGAGGAACTACGTGAAGGCCTCATCGGAATTGTCAAAATGAAGGGATTACCCCGAAGCTATTTCTGGTGGCCCGGCTTGGATTCTCAAATTGAAAGCACATGCACATCTGAAGGTTGTACACTTACACAAAACAATCCTCCTGCTGCTCCTGTACATAGATGGGAATTTCCAGAAAAACCCTGGTGCCGAGTCCACATAGACTTCGCAGAACCCTTTATGAACTCTATGTTTCTTGTAGCAGTCGACGCACACTCAAAATGGCCAGAAGTTCACATCATGTCATCAACAACATCTTCAAAAACAATTCAAGTGCTGAGAACCATATTTGCCACACATGGTCTGCCAACTCAAATTGTTTATGATAATGGCTCACAACTCAGGTCAGAGGAATTTGAAACCTTTCTAAAGATGAATGGAATACAGCATCTTACCTCAGCTCCTTACCATCCAAGAACAAATGGATTGGCTAAACGCTTTGTAAGGACAATGAAGGAAGCTTTGAAGAGTGACGAAAGCAACGCAAGTCTCAGGTACAAACTTGACACTTTCCCTATGAAATACCGCAATTGTCCACATACTACAACTGGTAATTCTCCAGCTGTCATGCTGATGGGTGACCCTTTACGCTGTCGTCTGGATCTATTAAAACCACACATAACCCGTACAGTTGAAAAGTCTTTTGTCGCAGCACCATCATCCAAACAAATGCGTCATTTCAACATTGGTATACCTGTTCTAGCCAGAAATCATGGAAGAGGTAATCTCTGGTCCAAAGGTATCGTATCAAAACAAACCGGTCCAGTATCATACCAAGTACAAGTTAGTACTTCAACTTGGCGTCGTCATCTCGATCAGTTAAGAAGATCTGAACTACCAAGTACAGAAAGTACTTCTGTTACCATGACAACTACTGAACCACAGGTTTCTGAAGAGAAATACCAAGAGTCACAGACAGATGCGCCTTCGACAGTTGATACTCCTGATGTCAACTCATCACAAGTTATCTCGGAGAGTCAGAACAGAACCCCTGATGATGTACAGAGCAAAGAAAACTCCAATACTCAAGCTCCAGTCATGCAAGATCCCAAATTACGAGAGTCAAGACCAGTGAGGAACAGAAAAAGTCCAGTATGGATGAAAGACTATGTTGCAAAATGACATTATTTGAGTTAGCATGAGAATGATTTAGAAATATTTCTCATTTGAATTTGACTTTAAATCAAGTGACTATGAACATTTAGTTGTTTGGCTCTGTTTCAGTTATATGGCTTTGTTGTTAAACCTGTTAGTTCAATTTTTAGTGTGGGGGAATGATGTGTATGACGTATATGACGTGATGAATCATGGGATTCATGGGTAATAAATTATGATTGAGTTCAACCACCGAACTAGAATGTTGTGTCTCAGCACATAACACACAAATCGCACCAAAACAAGATTGATAGACAGGATGCTTCATCAGAGTGCGTGCTGTGTTCTAGGAGAGAGGGAGGAAACAGTGAGCCATATCACGGCAGAATGTAAGAAACTGGTGTAAATTTAGCGTAAGAACTGGAGAGATCACAAGACTGCGCAAGTTATCAACTGACACATTTCAAAGACATTTAACCTCAGAAAGTGAAAGAAAATGACGGGGTTAACTTGACTGAGGGCATTCAAGACTGACCACCCGGCTTTGTATTTCTAGCAAAGAGGGTAAGATCGTCTGGCAATACTGATTTGAGGTGTCCTTTTAATACACAAGTGATGGAGAAATGGTGAGAGACGACGGTGTGGATGAAGGAGTAGAAGATCCAGAAATGAGGGCAAATAGCCATTACTCCAGTCGATATTTGAGCTCTAGAAACAGTGAGCAAGCATTTTAAAACTTTTGTCAGAAAGGTACGATTTTCGGTTATCACTAGCTCATTACAAGACTTGCTTATTGGGTAGGGGAAAAGTCTTATGAAGAACCCTAGACATAAATGAAGGTGAATGGTTGTTTTAGTAACTACTATAGATATGAGATAATAGTATATACTTTAACTTTGAGAGGAACTTAAAAGTCAAATCCGAGCTCAGGTGGGAAATGTCCTCGTCCGTAAGTGTAAGTTGTGGCTCAAAGATGTAAGCTTCGATAAAAATCGTACAAACACCTCGACGAATTTCGCTTGAGGTCACTTTAAGTAACTGGTTCGTCGAGGAAAGTAATATTAACCTGTCAAACCCTTCATCTACTTCGGCGAGCTATTAAAGTGTGGGAAAGATTCAGCTGCCGCCGCCATTTTCCTGTCTTTTTTTAAGGAAAGTCTCCGCCACATTGTTGACAAATGTACTACATGGCTCAAAGTCGGCGTTACGGACGCGCCTGACCTCGAAATAAGTAAAAAACGTCCCATTCCTCCCCGTCACATCTTTGGTTTCAAAATAGTAACGAAATTATACTTTACTTCATAACTAAACTACCGAAAACACAAAACCCCGCTAACTTTAAAGTGGGGCTAAAGCGACTGCGAAAGCGCTTCAGAATAACTGAAAATAGAACCCACAATACGTTTTTGTGCAGATCTGGTAAGTGCGTCTAAAGGAAATTTTGGAGCGACGCGATTTATGGACTAGGCGAATATGTGTAAGGTCAACATCTCTTCAGTCACTCTGGGAAGTTCTCGTGTTGAAAGAGTTTCTGTTGTCAGAAATCTTGGTACTTAACTTGATGATAGATGGTCTATAAACAGTCATACAAACAAAGTCTGCGATGTATCGTTTTATTTACACTTATATCCTGCGCATTAAGAAATATGTCTTGCCTTATTCTACATGAACTTTAAATACTGTATAGAATTCAAGATTCTTCTTTTACTAGTGACATCACCGGCCTGGGCTTTATGTCTAGTTTTAAGCGTAATCTTAAAAGTTAACCTTTAAGCCGAGCTTTTATTTTATTGCCCTATTAATTCAGTGTTTTTATCTTCTTAAGGGAATTGTTAGGCTTTTTAAATATCTTTTATTTTTAACTTCATATTAACTTTAGTTGGCTGTCATTATCAACGTCAATTTCTATTTTATATGAAGCGCATTGAATCATACATTTATGTAACTTGCGCTTCATAAATTCTAATCATTGTTATTATGATGATGTAATATCATCAATTGCTTATCTACAATGACGTTCAAAAGTGTTCACGCAAGGGTGAGCGAGTAACAAATTTGCATATCAAGCCCTCAACCTACCTTAATGAACTACGTAATCAAATGAGGTAAAGGCCAGCCTAAAGCTGTGTAAACATATTATGCACATCCACAAGGAAACTCTAATGACAGCGCATTCGTTATCTTTTTTGATTATCTACTGGTAGTCCTATGCTCAGCAGTTATTCAAACAATTATTGTCACTTAATAGGGCGGCTATGGCATTACTTGAATGAAAACTGAAATAGATTGATAATGAGACACAAGAAATGAACAACGAACTAAGAGATCCACTTGACAGGGTAAGTAACTCGCTTCGCCGAGCAGTGAGTATCAACAAAAGTAAAGAGACAGATCTAAGAAGCACGATGAAATCGATACAACAGGAACGACGGAGAAGTTTCAATTCTTGGTCTCTACGACAAGAAAAGTTTCTTAGAGCTAAACAGAACCTTGTACCACCAATCTTGTTTGATCAGCCTTCTCAGCTAGAAAGCTCTCCAAATTCCGACGCTTACCAACAGATTAAAACAAGGAAACGACGTATCACGTTTGTGAAAGCTGTGGCACCAGTGACTTTGAGTGGAGATAACGGAAAAAGCAGGACTGTTGACGAAAAATCCACACCTAAGGTGCCAAATATAGCGGAAGATCGGAATATTGATAGAAAGAAAAGAAAGAAATCCAAATCACAAGTTCTGCCACCGGTGATTACATTAGCCAACAGCAGTAGGTTCTTTCAAGAACAAAATAAGCCCCGGCGATTCAGTAGGGATAACAGGCAGGTATACAGCAGTTCCTTAAACGAAAATAACCATGATAACACCGAGATCACAGATAAAGAGAGGGTCAGAGCCAGAAAGTTGAGTACCGTTACTTCTCCATCAGAAAGGAAACAACAGGACACTCTGTCGATAACCGATGGCCTCTCACAGGTTCATAGCAAAGGATTTAGGACGGAAGTTACTACAAGGCGAATTAGTTTCATTCCCCTGCCACGCATTGAAGAAAAGGGGATTACTAGCAGTGAAGAAATAAACGAATCCCCAAAAATAAACGCTCAAAGAAAGGATTCGAAACTTAGTAACCCTGAAAACTCCCCTAAAACCACCGCGACCGAGGAAGACGGAGGCAAACAAAGAGCTAGAGCAAGATGGAAGATAGTGAGGGATTCTCTTCCAAAAATCACTACAAGTAAGAAAACTGACAAAAACAAATTATCCATGCTGGAGCTCACTAAACTGTTTGAGGAAATTCGAGAATGTCGATACCTCCGTGTAGGAAGTAATTCAAGATTTACAGATCATACAAGTCACAGTAGCAACCTTTGCAAATGCTTGGCATGTAGTATTAGGGACAGAAATAAACTAAAAAATCACTTAAGCGCTCCAGATTAACCAAGCTTATCGCTTTCATCCGGCTTACAGGTTTCATTTTTGCCAACAGCTGAGAGCACTCACAGTTACCACAATGGCTATGGAGTGCTTTTGATTCTCTGTCTAGTCTAGGAGTTCGACAATTTGTATGTTAAGAAATACAGGAATTCATCTTCTGCAATCATCGTACAGCTGAAATGTTTACATAGGTGTTCCACTCTTTTGTTTCCAAGGAGCTCACAAGATTGAAATCAAAATTGTTAATGAATACTAATAAAGAAAGGCCATATTTTTCAAACAAACTGACAGCTTTATTCAAGTTAAGCGGAAGAATTATGTCAACAAAACTAGTATCATTTACACAATTTTTTGAATATCTTACATTTTGCTCTCGAACTCGATTTCGAATTGACAAGTGGGATTCGCAATTAATCATCGAGTTGGCAAAGCAGTGCAACGCCTCTCTTGATCCAGTGATTCTGAGGCTTGTCAGTAGGTAACATCACTGGCATCACATAATTGGTCGAGTGGCCCGTCGTTGATAGAGTTCCTCTTCTTTCACTTGTCTTATACACTGGGCACTTGTACTCCTGCCTATCTTTAAAATCGGCAATTTTACCTAAAAAAAAACACACAAATGTGCTAGGGTTCATGTAACAATTAGCAAAGCTAACTTTAACTTGACATTTACTACTGATACAGCACCAAGAAACTTCTGGCCTAATGTACGAATGCTGAACTTCTTAGCCGGCAAGACACCTCCCCAGTTTCCGCATAGTGGCAAAAGCTCGTAGCGATGCTTTGGTCTTCATTACAGAAACTTTCAATATTTTTCCCTGTTTAAATTGAGGTGATCGTTTTCTGATAACAATAAAATCCAAATCACAGGTGAACATGGGAGGATTTCGAACGTCCGTACGAATTATTCATTGTATGAAATTTGAAAACAAAGTATGCACTTCCTATTTTTCGTATCCTCTATACACACTGTACAATATCTTACCTGGTTTCACCCATATAACTGGTATCGTGTCATGGAGAATCTTTGGCAATGACTCACCGATCAATCCTCTGTAAAACAATCGAGTGTTTATTAGTGCAATTTAAAGTCGTAAGCTGAACCAGGAGAAAATTTTATTGTTCTCACAAACCTCTTACGATCCCACCGAGCGCCCTCCAAAAATAAACCGTGTACATAAACTCCATCTTTAGGTGGCTTTTCTGCCGTGTCTCCAGAAAGAACCTAAAGAGAACGTAACGGTGAAAATTCAGCTTAGATCAAATATTGCCGGTATTTTGCCTGCGGAACACTAACTCTCCGCTGAAATTCGTCACCTCAGAAGACGGTCGGAACCGTTCCTGGTGGGCGTCCATATTGCACACGCTATTGGTGAGAGCCTGTACATCAAGTCGTCTATCAAGCACTAACTCGTCCTCGGTCGTCTCCAAAACAGATGCGGCGCTAACAAAGGGAAGAGAAAGGGTGGCAGGAAGGGAGGACATCCGACCCAACACTATCCCTTTCTGTTTTCTCATCATATTTCGTGCTTTCTCTTTGCAGAATTCCGCGGACGAGTCAGCGTTGTACAAATAGTCCGGGTAAGAGTTAAAAAAAGTAGCGCTGACGCAGAAATGGGGTCGCTCAAGTATATCGTTTCAGCCCAAATACATCCAATTACATAGCAAAGATGCTTGACTGGATCTACTCGGGCTGTACCATTGAAATTCATTAGGCCAAAAACCCCTGAAACTGTTGTGAAAAACTTAAAAATGAATACATAAATAAACATAAACAACAAATGTTAGAAGATTTTAGCCCAAAATTGCATAACCAACGCTCAAGTAAGGGCGACAACTCGGATACACTCTTCTTCTTGTATTGCAATTCATGGGCATCATTTTAGAGAACCCGAGACATTCATATGGCGCCTTTATACAAGTTCGAATCATTGTGAAACTCACTTCAAACTCAAAGCCCAGCAGGTCAATCGGTATAGTGTACTTCCTTGCATAATTCTGCTTTGCACCAGTCAAGAAAGCCTGGAAAGGGGGTAAACAAATAATAAAGGTTGTTACTAACTTAAATGTCAGCAACTACTCCTGTAGATGAAAGATTCCCAAGCCAAAAGAATAAACCAGCTCTCAGGTTTGTTAGTTTAAAATTTAAAGAGGAATATTATATAGGGGGTTGAGAGTTCCAAGGGAATTAAATTTTGTTAAGAAATAAAGAGAATCACGTGGTAAGCAACTTGAAAAAATAGGCTGACATTCAGCGAGTTTCTTGATCATCCTCTGGCTACAAAATCATTCTCATGATCTTTGCTTCGTGGTCAGTTCTCTGTGCTCCTCAGAATAAGGGATAAATCATGCAGGCATCTTCTACACTCACCAAAGGGCGGCATGCTCTAATATTACAAAGTACTCTTGGTTTTTCTACCAAGGGATTTCGGATGCATTCCTTAGTACGCTCGTAACCAAATGACAAAAAGCTCTCTAGGTTGCCATATTACGCAGTCCATCACCTGCACAATTATATGCTAAAGAGCATGTATTTATATTCACAAACATAAAACACTTACAACAAATAACTGAGAAACTTCACAGTACCTGTGTAAAGAAGAACCCGGATATCCAGAAAACAACTGGTTTTCCATTGTCGAACCAGTCCTATGGAGGATATCATCAACAGCTTAGTACTTTTCGAATCCAGCAAAGTTGTAAACATAACTTAATTCTTCTAAATATTGCCAAGATACTCAAAATTTCAAAATGTACATTCACCTTTGATTTTAACTGAGATTTAAATTCAAAATAAGCAATGTCCACTTTACTTTCCCATTTAGGCAATTTCCGAGAAAACAAATATACGCTGAATAGTTTGTTTTCCAAACTTAATACCTGTAAAAACTTGAGTCTGGCGAGAAAGTCATTGATGTAACTTCCGAGAGGTTTTAAAGAGGGATAAGATCTCTTCATCCACATCTCGGGTACCTACATAAAAAAAACAAGTAAACAAACAAACAAAAATAAACAAAAACAAACATACAAAAATAAACAAACAAAAACAAATACCAAAACTCACTTGGTCAAAAACACTTTGCGTAAACTTTTATAACGACAGTCCTATTCATATCAGTTTCTTATCCACTTAGTCGCTAGTCTCCTTCGCAGCCGTCTTTCGGGATGTCACGCAACGCTCCCTCGAGGGAGAGCGTTGCGTGACATCCCGAAAGACGGCTGCGAAGGAGACTACTTTGTCGCGTGCCTTGATACTGACTGGAGCACTAACAATGGCTCATATCACACTGCTCAAAAAATATCACCGCAATACTGTTCCGTAGTTTTTAAAAAGAACCAGTCTAGAAGCACAAAGAACTTTGAAAAGTCCTTCAAATTAGTAAAATGTGAGTTCCGCTTCGAGTTGCAAATATAATTCCTTCAACTCGGCTAATCACTATGCAAACTTTCAAACGCAAGTACCACTAGCGCGAGAAGAGTTATCGGTGGTGTACGTGTATATTTAGCAGAGAGAATTTGCCAATGAACATTTGCATTCACGGTTTGAGGATGACTTCCTGACTCACTTTTCCCACTAGCAAGCTGCTCGCCAATGCCTCCAGATCTGATGACATAACCACCAAGCCTTTTATAGCCTTCTGAAGATTTTGCAAACTTGTCCTGATTATTGACATCAACCTGAAAACACAACATACAAAGAAACAACTCAAACCCTTACCTTCCAGAGCGCCAGCAAAGTACAAGAGACCGACTTACTTGTTAAATCGCTCCATTTCTTGAACCAGCACAGTGTTCATACTCTCTTCGTATGTGACTGGATATTTCTTCAGCGCCACCTCCAAGTCATAATTCTTAGGGAGCTGAAAACATTATCAAGGGAATAATGAATTTTAGTCTCTCTAAAGGTTTCCGAATTTCCATATCTTTTCTCGCTCAACTCAAAGGATGCTCTCTGACTGTTGCCTTGCCAATATCTGGAAATTCTCCGCAAAAGATAAGAAAGGAACTACAATTTTAAGAGCTGGTAGAAAATCCAAATTTCCCGGAATTGAAGGCATATACAGTTGCTTTTCCTGTTGGAGCAGTATTTGTCATTTTGTCTTTTACCTTCAAAGCGAAAGAAAAAGAGAAATCGAGGAAAAATGTCGACTAAGATAACTTTTAATTGATATCACTGTCGCATTGAAATTTCTTCCATGTTTATACATGATCGTTAAGACAATCTTATCTTCAGGATGTAACTTGGTTTAATAAAGAACGCGTAGATGGCAATGAAAAACTCTCAAAAGGGTCCCATTATGCGAATCACTACAGTGAACATAATTTTTTAAATCGATTTACGCGATAGAGAACATTCAGGCTTAAGAAAATTTCTTGAAAAAGCTCTTTTTCTTAGTGATATTATCATCTAGTGCACTATTTGATCCAATTTCCAGTGTGTTAATCATTGGGTGTTCCAAATTTTCATGCTCTGTGAATACTTACTTTGGACAAGATGTCCTTAGCAATCTCCAACAATATGTCATCGGACTTTTTGCCAGCCCCTCCTTCGCCACTTTGTGACTGAGTCAGCAATACGGAGTCAAACAGCTGTTGATTCATAAAACATTTTTCACTACGATAACACTTAAATAATTCGACGGTTGAAATCAAGTTAAAATGTATGCTTTATCTCAATTCAGCCTGCCTAGAGTTGTCACCTAATTCACTTCGCTATAAGCGAAGGAATTAATATGTCTCTACACGAGCTTACAGTTACACTTTAGATCTGTCGCACCCTCACAAAATGAGTAACAAACCTGTTTGGTTTCCTGTAGCTCCTTGGAAATATCCACATTGTCGTGCATCCCAAAAACTTCGGGAGTCTGGGATAAGGGAAGTTCCTACAATAAACAAGGGGTTTCAGTTAATCGCTTAGGCTAAATACTATTTAATCTTCAACACTATTATAGATAAGAATTTACCTTTATAAACTCAACATATTGATCGTAGGAACTTTTTGGAGGAGCGTAGTAAGTACCACTTTGTGAAAACTTGTACTTAGGATCATGTACAATCTCTGAGGTGTAGAAGTCTGCCAAGATACTCATAAGGCACCGTCTGAATTCGCCCAAAAAAAAAAAAAACAGTTAAAAACTATGATGATCCTTGTATAAATTGCTTAACATTTTTTAATTAGTTAATAACTGCCGCTTATTTACTACGATAAGTGACAAATGGATTGTATCTTTCTTTATAACAAAGCGTGTGCGTTTGTCCTATCTAATTCCTATAGTGCCATCAAGGTGTAAATCTTTATGTTAGGCTGTGCATACATAACATGATTCATGCAGCTGTATTTTGCAGTATAATCCCCGTCCACTTTGGCCGAGAGTTGCAGTTGCCAGCGACAGAATGGAAGAAACTAGCAAAGAAATTGTCACCCACTTATTGTCTTCTTCGGCCATAAATACAATTAGTACATACTAAAACAGTGGATAGCGTTGAAGGCGCGCTCTGATTGGCTAGTCAAACTCCGAATATCCTTTGCTATTTACCTCCGAACAACTCAGGAAAAAATGGCGTCCCGGTTTGCATCCGTGACAAGGGAAGAAATCACTCAAATTAACGACGGTGGTGTATATTATCTCACTGTTTTAGTATATACTAAAACAACTATTCACTTCAGTGTCGGTGGTTAGCGGTGGATATTTACCTTGCCGCTTCGCGGCTCGGTAAATATCCACCACTAACCACCTCCACTTCGGTGAATAGTTGTTAACTATCTGTCAAAACAACAACAACAATAATGATAATGATAGCAATTATAAAAGTTATTAGATAGAGTTGCTCTCGGTTGTGTTTCTTACGGCCTCGTGCAACCAGACCTCGCCAAGCATGAACCAACATTATAAGCGTATAAATATTTATGAGAACGTCTGGTAAATCCACACAAGCCTGTAGGTTATTATCGTGTGGCAGTCATTGGCATTTTTAGGAAAGAATTTCATTACAGACCTGTCGTTGTCATCAGTAACTCTGCCTCCGTAGTTACACTCCCCAGTCAAATAAGTGATGGCGTCAAATGGAATTTCTTCGTACTCATTGATAAACATCTGAGAGAACAAAAGCATTGGTAACGTACAAGCAAGTTACAAGTTTTCTTGATTTTCACTGTACAAACCTGTAATTGTCTAACGCTGATTCTCAAGTCGGACTCGTTGAAACCATACGGAATGTTCCAGCCCAAGGGTCCAAACTTTCGTCTTTCCTGAACCAAAGCGTGGAAGAAACACAAACCAAACAAGAGCTTCTCCCAGACCTAAATCGGGAAAAAATACAAGGCTTGAAATGGATCGTCCAGGTGATACATGTACCTAAAATATGTTCAAGGCTGATTTTTCCTTAAAAAAAGAACCTTGTTACCTCATCACAACGCCACAAGTTTTATAGTCTCCATTGTAAAGACCAACGACAACACAAAATTTTGAGCGTGAAACGTTAACTGGGAACGTTTCCTCTAACATTAGTTCATTTCATGGCTCAAACACAGCTGTATAAGGAAATTCTCAAGTCTTATTGGCTTACCGCAGATTTAGCCCCACAACCACTGAAGAACTCTTCATCAGATATTGGATCAGAAAGATAGGACTGCAAGAGATTCTGACGCAATCCTGTTGGAGGCTCATTTGTCATCTTTACACCATTTTGAAGGACAGTAACTGGAAACTAACCAGTAAACAATTCAAAGTTATGGGAGTCATCACTGACTAATGGAGACGCTGCGAAACTGGAGCTCTGGAGAGTTAGAGATGCAGAAATAACATCTGAAAGTTTGCAAATTTGAGCTGAGCTGTCGAACAAAGATAATGTTGGCCATTTGTGATAAGCGTGGAAAAGAGGAAAGTTCGTACCGACTACAAATAGTGAACTACGCAAACATTTTCGATATTCGTTAGCACTACCCTAGAGTTGCTGCTACTACTTCCATTAGGTACGGTAATAAATGACTTTCCATGTTACCTTATCGGAGGGATAACTTGTAAGCCACAACCTAAAGTCTTGATGAGTGTTGTCTGGAGACAAGTCTTCGCAGATCTTCTCTAGTGAAGTCATCCACGACACTGCTAAATGACAGTTTTGTAACACAACCCAGGTTCCATCCTTGATTGCATTTTCTATAAGACGAGCGGCAACAGGCCCCTAAAAAGCATTACGCATGCGTTAAATTCATACCTTCCTCAAGATAAAGTGGGCTAAGGTGCATTTCGATTGAGTGTCGAGAAACCCAACCAAAACTAATCTCTAAGGCGAAAAACAGCCAACGAAAATGTCCTCAATACCTAGCAAGAACTAAAAGCAAAAACAGGTAAATTGCCTGATTGCTCTTTAAGCAAGATGTAAAATAAAAAAGAAAGATTGACGGTTATAAGAAAATTGATTAAAAAGGGAACCTAATCCACGAAAATACTTTGACTACATGCCAATGTTGAAAAGTATTTAATGCGAAAGAAATACCTGTCCTTGTCCGAGGGAAATGGCATTAAATCTGTCCCCACTGAAACCTTTATCTGCTGCAAACTTCATCAGGCCTAAAACGATAACATGGTTTTCAATTTTACGTCCACACATAAATAAAATAAAGAAATAAATTGAGTCAATAATTGACGAAAGAATGCATAGTCTGACTGACAGACAGATCATAGTCTTTGACTTATAAAAGCTAACGCGGAGAGCCAGTTATATAATTCAAAATGACCAATAACATAAAGTCACAAACCTGCCATGGGATCAGCTCCAGGAGATAATACAAAAATAAGTGGGGCACATGAATTGGAATCAACGTAGCTCTTGGCCAAGTCAAATGGTGGAGGCTGCACAAATTTACTTCCAAGCTTATCTTCCACGAAATTCGTTACAAGTGGCACAACCTACGTACAATGAAGTATCGTTAGACGGGTTCAGATGAAGCTGAGAAGGAATACTCTGATAAATTAGGTGCTCGAAGCTCATAATTAATAAATAAATATCAAGCTGCTGTGAGTCTGTTCAGTAACAGATCAGAGATGACGTTAAAATGTGGTAAGAACGAAAAAGTGGCATGTAAGGCGCGAGCGTATCACTGTTAACAATTTTTTTTGACGTCCTCTGTGATCACTTACTGGACAGACACACGGAAAAATAGATTCTCTTCGTTTTTCAGAAGAAACAAACATCGTTCATGGTGCCGTCATCGATGCATCAATAGATCATAAGTAAGAACTACCAAAAATGTGCGTATAATTCAGCAACAATCTGTAATGCCAGATAGACACAACCTTAACAGTACAGAGATTTAGCGCCGAGTTTATGTAAAACGAAAAACGTGAACTAGTCCTTTCTCGTTTTACGTTACAGAGCGTGAACCTTACTGTTTGGCTTCGCGTAAGCTCAGGTGACGCTACTTTGGAATGGACTAGAAGCCGTCCTAGTGAACGTGAGCTCTTGCAGCCGTCGGCTGAAGAAAAGTGCGGCATTTAAAGAATATTTAACATAAACTTTATCTACTTTTGGTCACGTGGTTACTCTTAACGTTCACGTTTCACGGAAACGCTGAGCTAAATCTCTTAATATGTTTCCACGTGTAGTTTGTCTCCCTAAAAGGCGTATTGTTTTCGAATCTTTTGCTACATTTTTTACTTCCTATATGCTCTCGCTATTGACCGCCCAAAATCATTATAAAATCAACTTAAACATTTGCAGTTTGTTTTTTCTGTTTTTAAAGATTTCTTTCAGATTTTCTATTTTTGTTTATCTAAATCATGGAAGTTCGGTAATCTTTGCATGGCTGGTCATTACCTTGTCAGGCCGGAGGCACCTAATAACCATCATCTTCTGGAAATCAGTTAGTTGTTCAGACCATGGAGCTGGAAAAGGAGCTCGGTGAGGTTCTTTACTATCATAAATCTTGCGCCACTCGTGTGTATTACCAACAAAACTTTTTCTGTAAAGTAAAACGTTTCACTAGTACAAAGAAGAACAACTTTTCGGGTTTAGCCCGAGTTTTCACTATCCATGCCTTTAATTGAACTCCACATCATTTTCCTTTTTTATCCACACAAACGGTTTTGCCTTTTTTGGAAAAGAGAAACTTTCATCAATACAGTTATATGCGTTCACAAACCTAAAATCCTTGAAGCCGCGCAAGTCACACATTCGACAAAGTTCATCCCAAGCTTTATCTGACAACCAAGAAGGATCTGGGTTTTCCAGCTGAAAAATAACAAACGTTTAAATGAAAAAGCCTTGACAATGAATCAATGCCGAGAGACAACATATCCCTTTTCCAAAGCGAAATTAAGCTGAAAAAATATGTATTTGATTGACTGCATTTTACCTTGTTTTCCAGGCCTACTCCACCAGTCAAGAAAAACATGAATTCTTCCATATCCATCTCATTCTTTGAGCTGTGATCAAAATCAATATTAAATTGTTTAATAATCATTTCGAGTGGTGACACAAGAACGAAATGAACATAGAATATGTTGGTAAAAAACGCTACACAGTAAATGTTCCAGACCCACTGGGAAGGCAAGCAGTCTCAGAGAAGAGTTCACTGCCGACGCTGATGACAGCGAGATATCACTTTGCAACGAAAAGAAACACGGCTTTACAAGTTTTGAGATCGAACTACAATCAAAATGTTTTTCAGGTCTCATTTATAAAAGTGAGGATGTTTTAACACTGCATGTGACGATAAAAACGTGGTTACAGATCAAGTCAGTTTCAATGTATCGCTCCTCGGTCGCGAAACTCTTACATCTACGTAGGACCTTATTAAGTTAAATTAGCAACATTCAATATTGAACGTCCAGCTTACTTCAGAATGTTGCAGCATAACACAAAAGAGAAAAGAAGTTTGTCTTTTTCAAAAAGCGATCGACACACGTTGCAGTAGAGATTGTAGGTAAAGTGGTCACTCAGGTAGCGCAATCGACGCTCCAGGATCTTCGATTTGTTGCTGGAATGAAAAGGAAAACAAAGATCAGCACACATCGACTAGAGGTAGCCAAAATGGATAAAACTTTACAAAAAATTACAAGAATGTGCATACAGCTTGGCTTTTTGTGGTAATATTTGCTTTAAAGCGTAATTACATCTCAAAGAGTTTACATTGTGGATGAAAATGATGGAGCGAGTGTGCATTGTGATTAAGAAAAGTTAAGGTTTTCGCCAGGTATCACCTAAAATGCGAAACAAAAACGAAATAAATTCCTAAATAAAAGATAGAGAATCAAAGGCACAAAACAATAAGAAAAAAAAAATCTCTGAACTGCATAAAAACTGCCAGAAATATTTAGAGATTCAGTCAGCCACATCACATCGTTGGCTGTGACGTGGCTGACTGAATCTCTGATTATTTCTGAAAAAAGAAGCCGCCGTCAAAACACTGACATTTCCATTATCAGAAAACAACGAAACGATATCTTATCTTGCTATAAGGAAAGGAAGGCTACATGTGGAAATAAGAAAGGAAAGATTGGGGATTTTTCTCTAAAAAATGTCTCTTTAACGACATGAATTATTCCACAGCATTCAAAATATACAAACCTGTCATGTATGGAGTTAAGGAAGAGATTAACAAACCAAGTAAGCGACGACTGGTACATGGGATCAATATTTGGTAAATCAGTTATAGAGAAGAACAGAACTGACGCATGTGCTGCTATCGGGTTGTATCCACGTCGTGACTCATTAATCTTAGTTTCGGTCTCCTCTGCGATCTAATCAAAATACAATTGTTTAATAGAAGTACGTAATTTACCCTTCTCTTAGACGCGACTAACAACGATTGAATATAGATAAAAGAGGAGCAAATGCCTCTCTGTCTGATGGCACAGCCTGCTACCGATTCTTTTGTTAGTGATAACTATCTTATAACTGTAACTGGAATTAACAGTAAAAGTACTACCACTACTGGTAATAAAGAACTCTTTATCAGCCTTAAATTGAGATCTACTTACCTTCTGCTTCTTTGAGATCTCATCCGAGAGTACCTGCAAGTAATTTATACTTCATTCAGTTTTACTTCATTAGTAATTAGTTCATTCAATGCTGCATTGATAAAACAAAATTAGTTTTAAAGAACTCAGTTTGCAGATGACCACTCTTACAAGCATCAAATTTTCTCATTTCTTTGTTTATTTTAATTCAATGTCTAGCAGTTCTGTGCGATGAAAAATTTATGAGGTGCGTGCATCGTTCAATTCAAGTGTTCTCGAACCGCCTGCGTAATAATTGCTACTATTGTGGTTGTTCTTTGTTCTTTTCGAAGTGCTACACTTCGCAAATCTCTATACTTCACATGGGAATAATCATTAGTGGGAAAGAATGAAATGATAGAACATGGAATCCGTCTGCATAAGTGATTCCTGAGTGAAAGAGGTTGACATGACGTTTTCTTTGAATTTTCCATGACTGTTCTCTCCATAGGTATGATGTCAAATATGCACAAAAAATTGCAGCTGGAACATTTTCAGGATTTGTCACTGGCTATAAGTTATGGATTAAATGCTTGCAACTGCATCCATTAGGAGCAATTGTTCCATTGGCCTCCGTTGCGTTTTGCAAGAGCAAGAAGAACAGCTTTGGCTAAATTCTTGAAATAGTAATATGTGTTTTGTAATAATGAAAAGCCACAATTTTAGAATTGTCTTGTGGCATGGCCAAATGTTAAGACACTAGTCTTAGGAAGTTATGGAAGCTTTTACCCTCTGAACAGAATTCCCAGTGCAATACTAAGGAATCACCTTACCTTACAGTAATCATTTTCCGCCATACCATACAGTGCACTGATAATGTATGGACTTACCTTGGATGAGTCTAATATCTGAATAGCTGTCTCGTCCTCTAAGATGTTTCCTTCAGAAGAGGAAAGTGTTTCTAGAATCTTGTCTTCAATCTCCTTGAGCTGTTTTTTGTTGGCAGCACTCTGCACTATTAATGCCTGTCTTTCTTCCTCAAGGTCAGGTCTAAACAGTAACAAAGGCAAAGTTGATGAATGAATATTTCGTTTATAGACTACGTAGGTATAACATATCTCTAAGAATTAAACCTTTCTTTGGCGACAACAATTCCCAACAGTTGATCTTCCAGGCCCTCAGGAGTGATCATGAAGTTGAGCAATGTAACCTTTGTGGACAGTTCAGGTAAGTAGTGAGGATTCCGCAGCTTGGTTGTAACATAGAACCGGAAGTCATCAGAATACTCGATCACACTTTCACCCAAACGCAAGCACTTTACCCCACCTACAATAAAAGGATTTCATTATGAAGTATCATACCATCAAATTACCGAGGTTTGTTCAATTCATAAGAAAGTTTGTCTTATGATTTCATCAGGTCCACAATATTTCCCCATGGAAATGCTTTTTAGCGACAAAAGTGCTGTTCCCGGCAACTCTTCTATCTCTAATTTTTAAGTTTGCTGAGTAAATTGACTCATCCACCAGACTTCGGACACGGATACCGTCATAAAGGAAGTCTCTAAAACTATAACTTGCTTTTTTTTTATTTTAGAATCCTCAACGACCTTGAGACTGATGTCCCTGGTCATGCAAGTGAATTATGTAACATGCAAGTCGACCAACGTTCAGAAACACAATGCCAATTGCATTTTTTTTTTGTTGAAAAACAACCGGGACAGCAGTTGTTGCCCAAAAACTCTTTTGCACACTTCGTCACTAGTAATTTAAGAAGACTTTCAAACCTTGTTTAAAGGTCTGCTTTAGCAGCAGAGGTTCTAGAGATGGGTCGAGTTCCTCGCCTACATTCTCGAGAAGAACGGGGTTTCCAAACTGGATGCTATTCTCAAGAGTACGAATGTAGTCAGCATCAGTTAATTTGATCACCTGGAAAACATTTTGAAAGTAAATCACATGTGTAGATAACTATAGGCAGATCTTGTGTTTCATTACATATAGAATAACAGTCAACAACTACCTTGGGTAAGAATGATTAATTGTATATATCTACAGTAGTTTTTATTTACTAACATATGCTTAAGAGTGCTGAAATTTGATGGTATCACAAAAATTAGTATTTTCAAGCAACAACAAGCTCTTCCAAACCTAGGAAAACCTTTCGCGCAAGATTTAGCTGTTCAAGATGAATCTTTATTGAAACTTCCACATGTGACCCAGGAAGTGCCAATGTGATGGCCTACTTATCTGCACCCAATCTGGTATTACTTACTGAGAGTTGGTTATCTTTCTCAGAATTCTTGATCCATTTGTTTGCTTGCCCCTGTGGGTCAATCATCAACGGCCTGTAATGTTAAGCAATAGCAAAGCCATGGTATGTTCTCATCAGCAAACAATATCTACAGCTTTACTCGTTTCGAGTGCGAAAACATTCTCGCATGATAATCATTCCCAAACATGCTCATTTTTCCATACACAGTTAGTCTGTGAAACAAAAGCACGTTAGTTTATTTCAGAATGAGAAATCTAAACGTCACCGTAGTAGAAGAAGAAATATGGTAAATATCTAGCTCGGTAGTAAGTTAAAGAAATGCGTTTTTTCGTCTTGTCACGAGGCGTGGAAAATTAAAAAAATGCCAAGTTCCCACGAGGCGTTGAAACTCAGGCCTTCTGAACCTGAGCTCTAATGTTCTGCCAGTGAGTTAAAGAGACAGCGGTGAGCCAGACCATTACGAGGTTTCTTAAGTAACAAGCGCCCTGTATACATTATCGAAACAAAGACAAGGATATGGCCAGCTTCACCAAGCAGGAAGATGACAGGTAAAAAGATATTTTTGTAGGTACAACTGAACACTGTAATTGAAAGGTAACATACCATCTCCTGGTGTTATCCACAATGACTCCATTATCAATGGAGAAAGAATCTGTTGGTAGGCCTGCTATATTCCATGCTCTGATTTTAATGGCTTGACCCAACGTTTTACTGAGTGAAAAGTCATCTGAACAAGGTATGTTCTTGGACTTAATAAAGGAAAAGGAAAAATAAAAAAACATAAAAGGCACATAACCATTCATGCTGATCATCACAGTAAACCCCTACAATCAGCGTCAAAATTAGTCGCCACATCGTGTTTCTCTATCTCTATCTCTATATCTCTATATATCTTTGTGCCATAAGGCACCTAAGGCTTTGACATTCTCTTTCCATCCACTTCGGTTTGTTGCTAAAGTTCTAACAGTCGTCCATGATTGCCACCCAGCTATTTGTCTTTCGTCTTCAATCATTCTCCTCCATATTGTTTTTGGTCTACCTGGTCTCCTTCTCCCTTCTGGCCGCCATTCTAATGCTGTAACGCAGAGCTCCTCTCTGTTCTTCCTCATTATTTGTCCGATCCAATTCCATCTTCGGCGTCTGATCTCATCACTTGTTCTGGTCACTCATGTGGTCTCCTGGATTTGTTGGTGTGAGATGGTCTGTGGCTATCTTATTTTCAGTATGCGTTTCATGCATTTTTATTGGAAAGCGTCTAACTTCTTTGCTTCTGTTTTCGTGAGTTTCCAAGCTTCACAGTCATACATCAAAAACTGCTCTTACAATTGTTTTGAACAATTGAACATTCGTCTTTCTGCTAATTTCACTACTGTTCCAAATTCTTCGCAACCTATAGAAAGTTTGTCTGGCTTTACTTAGTCTCTGTTGTATGTCTTTGGTCGCTCCGCCTTCTTTGTTCAACAGTGCACCTAGGTACAAAAACTCTTCAACGTCGTCTACCTGCTCATCATTTACTTTTATTCTTTGGTCGTTTCTGGCATTTATTCGCACAACTTTTGACTTCTTTGCGTTGATCTTAAGTCCTACTCTGGCAGCTTCATTGACAAGTGTTAGGAGATTGGACACTAGTCCATAGTATTATGGTATGTAGAGAGGAACCACGAGGAGGGAGACATTAAAAGGTCGAATTGAGTTCATGTGTGCTCGTCTCTTCCCCGCAATAACAACAAGCTTATTGGTCTTATCTTCTACGTCAACATATCTATATGACAATAAGGCAATGTCGTCTGCGAAGTCAAGATCTTCTAAGACAGAGGTGATCTTCCATCTTATGCCAGTTCTCCTGCCCTCTGTAGTTCTGTTCATGACCCAGTCAATTGACAGTAAGAAAAGAAAACCTGACATGGTGCACCCCTTAAAACCATTCTGTTGTTTCAACTTCTTCCAGGACTGCGCATTCAAAGTTATTGTACATTGCTTTTGTCAGACTGATGAGCTCTTCTGAGATTCCATATATTGACATGATGTTCCATAAACTTTCGGGGTGTTTAGAATCAAATGCTTTCTCAAAGTTTATGAAATAAGTATACAAAGTTGCATTCCACTCATTGACTTGCTCCAATATACTCCTGAGAGTAAACATCTGATCGATGGTACTTCTGTTCTCTCGAAAACCTGCTTGTTCCTTCCACAAGATGTTATCAACTCCTTTTTAAATTCTACTTATCAACACTCTGCCAAAGATCTTACTTATGACTGGTAAAAGTGTGATGCCCCTCCAGTTTGTACACTCACGTAAGTTACCTTCTTGGGTAACTTTGCTATTAGTCCTTTGCTCCAGCTTTTTGGTGTTACACCCTCTTCCTTCACTTTGTTGAACAACTTTGTCAACTCCTTTGTTCTCTCTTCTAAGTCTGTCATGAGAAGCTCTGCAACCACGCTATCATGTCCACCTGCTTTCCCACTTTTCGTTGATTTTATAGCATTTTTCACCTCTGTTGATTGGAATGCTCCGATGTCAAATTCTCAGTCATTTTGTCTTGTTTCAATTTTGCCACATCATGTTTGAAGAGTTTTATTTATGCGGAGAATAACAGTCTTGTTTCTTCAACATCCTTAATCAATGTTAGTTAGGAGTTCATAGAATCACGATTACAACATTGTTTTAGGGGAAGGGGGCGAAATGGTTAACTTAACGAGGGCAAAAGAGATAAAATTAAAGTTATAGGGGATTAAAAAGATCGCTGTGTCAACAATTTTGTCGCAGATTGTAGGTATCAGTAAGTTTTACTAGTCCATCGCTACTGTTATTCCCCTCCCACTTGTTTTAAGCCAGTGCTTCTCTAAACATTTTCCAATCAAACGTTGATGAGTACCTTACAAATCTTGGTCCACTCTTGAGTGCACTCTTTTCTGAAGCCAGCTGTAAAGGCTCCTAAGTAAGCTATGACTCCCGAGGAGATGAGAACATCTCCTGTCAGATTATCATATACATCCTGAAGAGAAGCTGCAGCTGCTGACCAGCGATCTTTCTCACCACCGAGTCCACCAATAAGCTTTTCTGCTCTTTCTAGTTTCTTACCACACAAATCCACCTACAAATAAACAAAATCTTACGTCATACATAGCGAATACACATGGCAACAATAGTTTGTAATTGATTGCGTGGTCTGATCGTGCATGAGAGAGTGGTACTGAAAAGGGCTGACAACAAGATCAATTGTTACTCCTGAGTTCACACCATTACTTGAAATTATTTATATATTTTCTTATCAAAAAAACTACTTCGTAGCACAGTTGATGCCACAAACTATTATGGTGAATCTCATTCATAAAATTTAACAGTTTCTTTTGGAACTTTCCGAACAATGACTAGCATGGTCAAAGGAAAATCGACATTAAGAGATATTTAGAACAACATTTAGAAAGTATGAAAATATACATCCTAACAAACCTGGAACTCTAGTTGTTGTTTTTTGTCTGTCATCTCTGCAAATGTCAGTTTCAAATTGGCAAGTTTAGCTTCCACTTCAGCCAGTTCTTCACGTTTAGCATTCAAAATTTTCATAGTTTCTGCCAGGGATGCTTCTGCCTCGGCTAGATTAGCTTTCTTTGGTGCCACAACCTTAAGAAAAAAATTATATATTCAACAGTTAAAGCGAACTAATTTATATCTATTTAGCGTTTGTTCATTTATTATAAAGCACTCATCCATTTCTGATTGTTTAAGTTCAACGCAAGGTGTAGTCGACTTGAAATTATTCATAAGCGAAATAAAGAATGGAAAATGTACAAAGTTTCTGGTGCACCTCCTTTCACCATTCTGTCTTCTCATTTCAACTCAGGTTACTAACGAATTTCAAGACATTGAGATTGGTCACTTGTCGCAAAAATTTCCTGCGGTCAGGCACAATGTAAGTCTCTTCTCACCCCTCACTCCCCAGTCAAATATCTCCGACAATTGTTTGAAGGTCCCTCCCCCCAATACCCAGGTCCTAGATGAAAACACTCTATTAAAAGACTTACCTTAGCAACTCTGTCGTATATTTCCATAGCTTGTACCCACTTACATAACCCTTCTGCTGCAGAAGAGGCTGTGCGCACTTTTTGTGGATCGAAGTCTGGGTTAGGTATGTACTCTTTTCTGATCTTACTCATGATATGCACCTGGAAGCCAAATGAAACAAAATAAAACATGTGTGTGTCAGTAAATAGGTGAAAAGTGAGATGTAATTATCAAACTGTAATTTACAATTTTATGAAGCCTACTATAAGTCCTACTTGTGTTACGGTAAGATTTATTCCAATTAGACTATTATGCACCAACAATCACTGCTGAGGGACATCAAAAAGTCACCATCACAGAAACAACTGAAAGTGGTAAGCTTGAACTTACTAAAAATTATACAATGATTAAGAAACAGATTATGTCTCTATAGAAACTTTCCCTGAAAAAACAAGTCACAGTTACTCACAGCAATATTGTCTTTATCATATTCTTTAAGATTGTTAAGAAAGTTCATGTCTCCCAAAAGCTTCTTTGATGGGCCCCAGTAGTCAAGGATCTTCTTTCCAGTTCCTGCGGGATCATTTATTTTCTCAGGTTTGATATCACGCATGACACAGACAGCTGACATGACAAGCTTCACTCCAGCAGGAGGATTGGCCATGGACTTCACAATTGTTATGTCTGCTGGCTGTAAAAGAAAATGCACCCACATATAAATTATGTTGCCTTCTTTTCAAGATCACTCATGTCAGCTTCTGCCACACCTGGAAACTAAATGTCATGTTTTAATCAATCATCTTTCAAAGGAAAGTCCCGGGGACATAAATTAGTAGAAACCTTGTAACAAAACAGTTCTTTCATAAATGTCACTTAAATGGTTTTCACGTGTGAAGAAAAAAAAAACGCCATTGTAACAAGGTTTGGTGACATGTATGACCTTTTTTTCTATTTTACCAATATTACCAAGGTTGCATTAAACTGTTTTTAAGAGGAAAAATTATTTTGTTTTTTAAACAAAGAATTCGTTTCATATTTTTAGTGCGAGGTTGAAGGAGCTAAGCTACGTGCACTTGGTCTTCGCATTTCTACTGATAAAATGTGCTTTAAAATTCTCTTTTATTTTTAATAAATATTTTATCAGGGTGTTAAGTAACAATAAATATTTACAGAGAAAAAATGCAAAGTAAGAGATCTACATTGAGGCACTCAGCGTGCTAAAGGAAGTACCCATGTGACTACTATAAAAAACAGAGTATGACATCAACCTTGAGGGTATTCAGAGCTGCCAAGGCTGCCTCTAAAGCAGGGATAGCTTCCGCAAGGTCACTTTCACACTCTTCCTTCAAGGCCTGTGACTCTGATGCCTTCTGATTCGCAACTGCTTCATCTTTCCTCACAAGTTCACTACGAGCCTCAACTTCAGCTGATTCTTTTTCAATTACCTGTTGAGGACATGTAGCGTAATGTGAACACATGGGGCGTTATCAGTAAAAACTACTAGAAAGTTAATAGTGTGATTAGAAATGGTGAACTAAATGCGATAGCAATTTTCTCCCTTCCAAATTGTTCAAGACCGGTTGCGCAGGAACCCTTACAATTTTGGTTTAATAGCTTAAGTGGTGAGAGTCCAACTAAAATATTCACAAAATGGTGGTATCAAAAATGATTACTAAGCAGAAAGGGATAACTAACTAGAAAACAAATCTTCCGATAATTGCATTGCTGGCCTTAAAATATCATGCCTTTGAATGAGTGTGACTGAAGCCACTGACCCAAAGTTCAGGGTGACAAAAAAATCACACTTTTTTTTTCAATAGACTAGTTTTTGACATTTCACAAGAAGAATTAGAACACCTTGGTCAAACGCCGAATTTCAAGACAGATCTGAGCAATAATTATTTTCTTTTCAGCCAGATCTTTATCTTCACTAATTCTATTCGGAGCATTTTGGAAATCTATGGTATCTCTTTAAGTCCTTCCGCTATGCAGAAAACTGTACCATGGTACAATTAAAAATAATATAAATTAAAGGAATAATTAAATACACCAATAATTGCCATCATCCAATTCAAGCATGACAAACTGTACACAACTGGCATCCACTTTCAAGAAAAACGCTATCTAAAGGAAAGAACAAATGCTTACTATCATCATTTTAGTATTTTCCTTGGCTGTCTCAACAAGCTGGGGCTGTAACTCTTCTAGCTCTTTTTGCATGTCTGCTACCTGTACAAAAAAGACAAGACAGGTTTTAGTGCGAAAGTCTGCAAAACTTCTTCCAAACTAGGTCAAACACACCATACAACCTACCTGAGATGCTGCAAATGCCAGCTTTTCCAGACCAACGTCATAGCGGTGTTTGTTTCGCATGACCTGTATTAAACGAAAAAGTCAGATTTTACAAAGATGGTCGACATGTTGTAGGATACTGATTTCACGAGAACGATAATTCTCCCCAAAAAATTGACTGAAACATTTTCTTTTCTTCGAATGACTTCTTAGTCCTTCCTAAGCACAAATAGTTCGCCATAAAAGACTGAGAGAAGTCAGGCAATAGGTGGCTATCCCTGCTTAGTATAACTTTAGGCACATTTGGAACTCTGCACACCTGACCGTGTTGTTGTGGTCAAATAGATCCCACACTTGATTTATTATCAACTGTTATTTTGATTGGTCTATGATTTATACCTAAATACTTCAAGTGAAAGTACACACCTCATCTTGCTTCTTTCCCAGAAGTGTTTTTAGCGAAGATATCAACTCCAAATATGAGGTGGGAGTCACGTAGTTATGCCGCCCAAGTTTATCAAGATACCTGCAGTATATATCAAGTCTTTAAGTAGTTGTAACGTCACAGTAATAAAACAGCGTGGTAACCAATACAATCAAAGGCTGAAGGGTTCACTAATGATAACATTTCACCTGTTTGATAAATAAAACAAAACAAAACAAAACAACAAGAGCGAAAAATTACCTTTCAGACAAATGGCGAGCACTTGTATGGAAATACTGGCAGATTGGAACAACTTCTTTTCGTTCATTATCCGTCAATTCCACATCTTGAAGGAACTTATTAGCTACCATTTCCAAGGCATCTTCGGGCCATGGCTGAAATAAATGAACAAGTAAATTAACAGACAAACTGACAAATAAATACTCGGGGTGATGTGTATGGTGTTATATGTGCAAAGATAAGAATATAATTTTTCCAACAAGTAATCTCATAATGTCTTCCGAGTTGTCCAATAAAGTAACTGATTTCAGCGCAATGGCGGTGATAGCAAATATCTATACTATACTATTACAATCGAGATGCAGCAAGAACGATTATTTTCATCCTCAAACTGTGAGCGACAAATTATGTCAAAATGAGCCACAGCCCAAGAATGAGACAATATAAATATGAAATATAAGCATGCCCAAGCAAATGATCACCTGAAACCAGTCAATGGTGCAGCAATTGATCAGAGCTGGGAACTGCCTGAGTCGGTTTCTGAATGCATCCCCAATTGGACTCATGCATAACATAATGTGAAGGTTTCCTTTACAACAATTTACAAAGAAATTAAACAATGCCAAAGGTGAAAATTCAGCATTCTTGTCGTCAGCTTTGGCTTGGGCTGCAGGGCGAACACTCTAAAAAAAGAGAAAGACAGAACACAGACAAACCAGGGAAGATTTACTTTAAATGATTTCTTTAAACAAAGATTTCCATGACCAACATTGGAAAGGATAAACTGCAGTTCTTAAGCACTTGCAAGTAAAAGTACACTGCACCGTGTGTTCCATGAGCTCAAACTAATTCTTCACTTATTATGAAACTTCGAATAAATCCCACGATAAACCTTTAAATTAAAAGCCTTCCTGTTTATCTCTGTACCTTACACTAGGGACCTCGAATTCGATTATTGAGTGGTATATTTTACGTTCCACTGACAAAATTTATGCGCAGTTTATTTGGTAGTTTTCATGCAAATGTTGTATGTAAATAGCCACCGTAAATGAATTGGGTGACAACTTGGACAAAAGTGATAATGAACACCGCCCCCCCTTCCCTTTCATCATAAATTTGAGGTAAGCAAACATGGATCTAAGTCACGGGTTTATGGTCAAATGTAACTGACGTCCAGTCGAAATAACAAAGATATTTACATTATTTCCACCAGCAGATATAAAAAAAAAACTGCACTTACCTCATTGATCTCAGCTTTCTCATCAACTGCAAACAAATTGGGAACTTCACCAGTATTAAGCAAGCTGTCCACATCCTCCAAGAAGGACTCCTCTTTTATTTGAGTGTCTGTCAACAAGAACACTGTTGGCTTCATTTGACATCCTGCACTTTTAAGCAGTGTCTAAAAATACAAAGAAATACAAATGTTAAGTGTACATTGTCAAGAGATAGGACAGACAAGCCTGGTTCTTACTAGTCACGGAAAGGGAGTCAGTTGGTGTTATAAAAAGCATATACCAGCAAGTGAGAGATCAAAACTTAAAAGCCATTCGTGGGGTCATACAAAATGCAAGTTTGATAGAATTGGAGTCGGAAACTTCACATTTTCAAAGGATTCTGCGTAGAATTTGGAAGCTAATAACCTCAATCAAACTATATTGTTAGTGTTGCGAGCAGAAGCAAAAACTAAATAGATAAGTGAAAAAATAACCAGTCGAAAAGCCAGTTGTCAGACCCTCCAAGCTTATCATGGCTTAAAGGATACAGTTTCGGGTCACTGGGTTTTGAGTCATCCTCAGCCAATCACAACGCTCTTTGCTTCCTATCACGATTATGAGTGCCAGTCAATCTTTAGTGAAAATCAGCCTTGAAGTCAACTTTTTAGTCATATTTATCACTAACCTTGATGTCTTCGCGCCATTCAGGAAGACCATAGCTTTTGGAGATCTCAGGCTGAAACACGTAAAACTCAGAAATGGCTGCTGCCAAACGGGAAAGAGACTGTCTTCCACTACCTCCAACTCCGACAAGCAAAGCATTTCCTCCTGGTTGCTTCAAGATACGACTAATGCGAACCAAGTGCTCCAGTACATATCTGTGACACCACCAATAACAAAAAATTAGGAAAACTGATATGGAATTGTAAGCTACTTTTTCCCTCAAGCTACCATCTTGGTGAGCAACTCACAAGTTCATACTCCAGCAATCTTTACCTAGGTGAAAATGTAAGTAGTGCTGCACAAGACTTTGAAAAGCAGAGATGATTCTTACGAACAATGCAACTCCGTAAAGTTATTTGTTAGAACCTAGAATGACGTTTCACCACAGAAATGTCTGTAGCTCAGTTTTAGAGTATTGGACTGCAGAATGTGAAGGTCTGCGGAGCAATTCCTCATTGGGACTCAGATTTTCTATCTCTGTCCCCAAATGAGACAAGACGCAAAATCATCTCTCTATATAACGCGACACGTAGATTGGTAACTATACAAGGTGTACCTCGCCTAACAGATACGTATTTGTAATCTTTACCAAGTTAACTAAAAACATACAACTCCTTCTTAAGCTCGCCAAAGTTGACATTGGTTGTAGAAAAGTGAAAATGGTTACTGATGCAATAAACACTAGACCATGGCTGACCTGAAGATGACCAAGTTCATCTGTGTCTTATGTGTCTGGTTATACTCTTCAAGACATTGCTCCACAATCTTGTAAAGTTCCTCAATCGAGTCCACTTCTTGATACATACGATCCTCGCCCATCTATTGGGGTGTAAAATGTATGCCATTTCTAACTGACTTGTAGTACACATATACCCTATTTTGAAAACTAATCAACTCCTTCACGAATCCTATGGGCTTGCCCGCGGCATAAACTAGTAGGCTCAAATTCAAATTTTAAAGCTAATTCAATTGGACTCAACTGAATTCTGCCAGAAAGTAAGTTAATAGTCTTCTCTACGGCTTACCACATCAGGATTGAGAAAATCACAGAACATCAAGCTTCTCAAGTCATCTTCAGATGCCTAAAAAATCATAAAATAGCTTCCCATGTAAATTGTAGCTCAATTTTACACAGAAA